CGGCTCGCAGTTCCCCGGGGCTGGGACGGCGCCCGCTCCGAAGGCTCGACCGGCTGGGCCCGGCGGGCGCGAGCCGGTCGCAAGCGTCGGCTGCAAACTTTCCACGCGTGGGAGTCAATTGGGAGGGGCACCAAAGCCGGAACTTGGTTTACCCCGCGCCACCGGGTGTCCCCCTCCCGGAGCGGTTCCCCGCCCTTCCCTCCAGCGAGTACGCACGACCGGTAGCGACACGGGCCTCAGCGCTCCTCCTCCCGCCGCCGCTGGAGTGGCACCTCCTCGACTCTTTTGTTGGCGCCTTTCGCAGGGCAGGATCCGATGGAGAGACCTGGGACAAGCGGGAGAGAAGTGTGAGGAGCGGCGATAGCCGCCGAGCCCCGAGTACAAGCCAAGTTCTCCCCACCCTTCCTACTCAGCCCTAGCCTCCGCGTGCGTCCTTCCCCACAGAGGGACGCGGTCCCCACTCCCGAGCGCTAAGCCTGCCTCTTCCGGGCCCACTTCTGTACCAGAGCCACCTCCCGCCTGGATCCTGCCGGGGGATCGCACGCTTCTCTCGCCTAGAACTTCTCACGGAGCCCGCTGCGTCCTGCAAGCAAACTTCTCCCTTCCCAGCTCCCTGCTCCCACCGCCCCCGCCGACCACCTGCCTTCCGGGGTCCCCGCCCCCGCCGCGCCTCCCCGCCCAGGTTGGGATGAGAGCGAAGTTTCGGGTTACGCGACTCTTTCTATCTTTTTGTGCCTTCTTGAATTAGTGGAGAAAGGGGTGCGGAGCCATACAGCTGTCGCCCACTGCCGACTCCCAGTTCGTGGCCCTCCAGCACCCCCAGATCCCGAAGGGGTTCAGGCGTCTCCAGAAAGAGGAAGGGAATCTCCAACAAAGCGGCTGTGGGACCATGGGCGGGTTAGCAGCCAGACCCCCCCCCCCCCCCCCGCTCCTTCACGCCCCAGTGTGGAAAGGAACCCGGGTCCCGCCTCCAGGTTCTGTCCTGGCCGCTGGGTCCCCGCCGCTCACCTCTGCGTCTGGCCCCTCCAAAGCCAACTCCGAGTCCCCGCGCCTTCCCGGCTCCCGCTGCGGGCGCCGACTCTCCTCGCACCCCAGCCCCTAGCCCAACCTCCACGGCTGGGAAGAACCAAGCCGGGGGGCGGGGGAGGGCCGGGGCTGCGGGACAGATTGCTTCCGCGCAGCCCACCTCGGCTGCCAGTGGAGGGCTTTAAGGAGGGGGACGAGGGAGACCGGGGCTCGCGCCTTCTGCTGGCGGGGATAAACGAACCACGCGCCTGGTAAAGGTGAAGGGTTCCCCTTCTGTTCCCCCTCCCTGGCATCCTTTGGTGGTTCCGTATTTTTGCATAGCGTATTTACCTCGGATAGAAACAAAACCGCTGGTGGATCTCTTGGAATTCAAGCTGCTTCGGGCATCGCCGGCAGTGCTGAGATGGATTTAAGCGTGACCCACATCAGCGCAAAGCAGCCAGCAGAAAGGAACGAGCTGCACACGTTACATCCGCCACAGCAAAAGCCCGGGTTGTGAGGGAGATTCAGAAAGTCTCCTCTCGCGTGGCTCGGTTAGGCTGGCAACTTCAGATTCAGGGGTAGTTAGTTAATGCCTTCCTACCTGTGCCACCCCCGCACGCCTTGGGTAGTTATGAAACTTGGGAAGAGAGTCAACTTTAAAGTGGGGGAGGGTTAGTGGAAAGGACACTCATTCTTGATTCATTATGAGGTTCTTTTTTTTCCCTCTCCTCTCAAAATTAAAACCAGAGGGAAGAAAACGGCAGCTAAAACACCCCAGAAACAAAGGCAAATAGCAAAGATGTGAGTCACCCGGAAAGCTCCCTCCACCAGATTCGGAGCGTTGTGTCAGCACAAGTCACTTACGCAGGGAGCGCTCGCGGCGGGAGGTGGGCGGGCTGACCTAGGGAAGAAGTTTGTCCCAAAGTGTGTCTCCCAGGAGGCCCTGGCAGGCGCCGGATGATGGATTAGGGAAAGGACTGGAATGCTTATAGGACCAATGTCATTAAATCGGGGAGATTGGGAGTTTCAAAAGCCCTGCCATTGCTCTCTTAAAAACTCTTTATCTCCTTTTCCCCAGGCAAATAATTTTCCCCGATGTAAAAAGTGTGGGTTATTACAGTCATGTTCATTTTAGAGAGACAATGACAGGAGAAACATGGCTGAGGAAAATGAAGACCAGTAAAATAAAAGAGATCAAATTAACGAGGCAAGGGATTGTTCCCACAACATGCAGCATGGCTGTGGTGGTCCAGTTCTGAATCTATGCTGGATTCCTTCTGTGGAGAGACCGTGTATACAAACACCAGCCAAAATGGCCCAGGGGGGGAAAAAAAACTGCAGAGCCTGAAGACTGCAGAGATTTGTGCAAACAGACAGTTTCATTAATTTGCATCTTCAGCACATTTATCTAAATCCCTTTCTCTTATTTTTAAAAGTGTTTTTGCAATATAAATGTGAAAAGCTTTGGGGGAGAAAACCGACTCAGAAGCTGAAGTCCTGTTGTATATGGCAATCGTGGAGATGGTTATATAAATCCATACGTATGCTAAAACTCAGAAGACTGTACACCGAAAAAGACAATTTTCCTGCCTAGTTTTTGTAGTAAAGTAAATGGCATGGGTAGAATTTTTCTGGTCCTCTGGCACGGTCTTAAATCTGAGTCTGTCAAAAGAGCAAGTGCTCTGGTGCTCTGACTCTTGAGAATTTAGGAAAATTCTAAATACTCTCATTTGATCCTCAAACCACCTCTGCAGCAGGATACAGTAGAAAAATTCTAAATACTCTCATCTGATCCTCAAACCACCTCTGCAGCAGGATACAGTAGAAAAATTCTAAATACTCTCATCTGATCCTCAAACCACCTCTGCGGCAGGATACAGTAGCATTAGAACTCTTGTCCTGTCCTGTGTCCTCTCTCGCAGTTTTCCAAATTTAAAAACAAACAAAAACGAAGGCTTTGAGCTGATATGGCCCAGCCCCAACTATTCCTCTGCTTGCCTAGTCATGCCACTTGGTGACAACTGCCCCCTTACTCGGCACATCACTCCCAAGATAAATCTTCTCACTGCAGTTCTACGGAAGAGAAAGCTGGCATGAGAGCACAGTATGGAAGAAGGAGATGGGCTCAGGCTCAGGTCTGCCCGATTCTCCTGTCTTCACATTCCACCTCTAGGCCAGATGAAGAGACTTATGCCAAGTCCTCAGTCTTTTAGGATATAGTCAGCCTGCTATAAATGCATCCTACACACACATACACAATTTTACAAATGTACTCAAAACAGAGTTTTGTTTTGTAACCTAATTACACAGTTCTTCCATGTGAACTTCACAGATGACAGGTCAGGCATGTCAGGCATGCCTGAAGGTAGTCAAGGAAGCAGTACACCTGAGTGTCTTTCAGTTGTTTCCCCAGCTATTAGCAATGAGCTAGTACCAGAAACAAAGTCTTTTCTAACTCCTACACTTACTGGCTGTATGATCTCTTTATATTTCTGCTACTTTAATCTGTAAAATGGAACCCTGAGCAAAATTCTAAGGATTCCCATGAGAATTGAGATACAGATAGCAAAATCAGCTATTCTTATTATTCTCTCCTTAATTATTATCCTCCCAGCTACCTGTTATGATTTTCTATAACTATGTTAGGGATAGTAGCACAGAGTGAAAAAAGGTCTCCATAATGTAGAGTTGCCACATTAAACTAATCAAAGTACAAGACACAGAGTTAACTTTGATTTCAGTTAAACAATGAATCCTGTGGTGTTGCCCACAGTTCAGTTGGGTCTTCCCAGTTTAGCTGACTGAATCTAGATAATCCCTCACAGGCTGTACAAAGTTGTCTCCTTGGTGGTTCTACGTCCTGTCAAGTTGATAGTAATAACCATCACATCTCTATCCTTTGTCAACTTGACTCCCAAACACATTACTTTTAAGACAAAACCTTCTTCAGCACAACTACACAGACTTATGGATATCCCATAATGCAAAATGGATTTGCTCCAACTTCAAAAGTCTGTAAGCACCCCAGAACTGTTTAAAATTCTCAAGCTCTAGTTTCATTTGAGGCTCAATCTTTTGGTTCTCTCTCTCTCTCTCTCACTGTAGAATCTGAATAAAAGAACCGAACAACAGCCCCACCACAGCCAGAGGATATGCTGTCCTGAAATTCTTTCTGTCAAAGAAATTAGCTCATGAATTTTTAATTCACCACCTCACAAGTTCTTAGGACACCTGCAGAATTTCAGCAGATTCTTTGGCAGAATGTAGCCAGAACTGGCCTCCAGCCCAGTGCTTGATAGCCCCTGTTCTCTTCTGAAGCCCTGTGAACTGGGCCTCTACTGTTTGTTTTCTCTAAACATGTTTGTCTTCAAAGTTTCTACCAGATAGCGCCACTGAGCTATGTTTTAGTATTTGAGGGCTTGTCTAGTCCAAAGTTCAAACTCTAGCACATTCTTCTTGCAAACTACTTCCAAAGACCTAAGGACCATGGGAGCCAGTTTATCACAGCAGTGACCTCACACCCAGCTCCAGTTTCCCATCTCAGTTACTTTCCCTGTTGCTGGGATAAAATCTTCTAACAGACACGGTTT